TTAGGCTACACAACAGCAAATGCTAACACATAGTGTCACAGCAGCACAAGAAGAGAAGCATCAGAGAAGTGACCAGAACCAGAGGCCAGAACCCTCTGTGCTGGCGTCTTCACTGTGTCAAGGCAGTGGCCTCATTCAAATAAATGAGACTGCTGTTTTTTTTTATGCAGAGCTAATGCGAGTGTGAAATCAGGCACCTAGTCAGCATCTTCTCCAGGTACCAGATTTTCAGTTATTTATATTAACACCAAGAAGACAAAAATAAGTCTTTGAAAGTTGTTTTGTGTGCTTATGTGCAGGTTTTTGTGTGTGATGCAGAGAGCACACATGAGTGCATGTGGTATATTTCTATGTTTGTGTATGTTTTATGTATGGCCTTCTTTCTTACTTGTATTTCTGCACACAAAAGCAACATGTCGCTTGGCGAATGTGTGTCTTTGTGTAAGTAGACTGTACTGCTCCTTGACTGTTACTCAGGAGCACTGGTGCATGTCAACCTCCTTCCTCTGCCACAATGCTCCAAAGCCTCCTCTTTCTGAAGCAGGGTCTTTTTTTAGCACACTTCCAGGTGTACAGCTTGAGCTCAGAGAACAACACTTATCAAAGCAGGACTAGTGAAAAGTTAAGCCTCATTTATGAAAAGCCACTGAAGGTGTCTAAGCATGTCTTTAATGGTTCCTATGTGATAGCTTCACTGGTAAAGTCTGTTTATATTCAAGCATAAAGAGGAGACTAAAATTAGAGCATATAATACTGTGATACACTATGCGTACTCATAGTGGCAACTGAATAAGCCTTCAGAAAGATATTTTATGGAGCCCCTCACTACAATAATCACATTATATTTAATGTGAGCTGCTATAAAAATGGTTTCCTACTTTAGATTTAATACATAATTACTGCAGGCCTTAACGCTTTTATTTTCAGGGGTTCACAAAATGTTAATATCCCATTAGCGGTCTGATTTAGTGAATGAGGACAAAGATAGTGAGGTAAAGAGGGCTTTTTGGTTTCTATGGAGGAATGAATCGGTAAACTTTTGCTGTATAATGAATGGGATTCAGAACTGTCCTCCATCATTGGAAACCTGCCAGCCCTGAATCTATTCAGCAAGTAACAGTGCAGGGTTTTTCAAATAATTGCTCTTGAGACTGGAGCAACCATGCCACAGTGTAGCAACCTTATAAAAGGTGGGACCTCTGCAAGGCTGCATCTGTCAGCTAACTGGCAACTTGTCAGGGATTCATGTCTGGTTCAGCTTGGTCTGTAATAAGCGCTGGAAGCCTGTGAATATCTCTGGATTGATAAAGAGAGCAAAGTTTATCGGGGCAGCTGTGACTGAGCACACGCATGTGTGGTGGTGATAGTCAGCTTTATCAAGTTTATATTGTGTACACTCACGAGTACACATGCTTGTTCCTGTGCGTCAATGTCACTGATATTTATCAAGGTCAAAGGTCTTTCTGATCCGTACTGATCTGGTGGTGCAGTGTGGCTTGTACAGTTAGTCCAAACACTTTGTTCAGAATGTACCTACAAGTCTGAAAAAACAGGGCCTCTGTACACAAGTGTACAGGTGATTAGTTTATGACACAGATCAGATCTTATTTAATGTTTGTTGGACCTGTTCACAAACAGAAAAGTAAAAACAAAACTGTTAAACTATGAAGCAAGGCATCTGCTCTCAACTTTTTCCCAGTCCCGGGAATCATTTTTTATTTGGCTCAGCTTAAAACAGCTATCCTGGCCCTCCCACATATCACCACATCCAAAGCTCTAAAGCAGCAGCCTGATACTTTAATACTTCAGTTTATGTGTGAATTAGACAAATGTGTGTTGTGCTAGTTTGCTGTTTGCCTGTTTGCAGTCATTTCACTAAGCTAACCAGCTGCTACCTCTAGCTTCATATCTATCTAGTTCTCAGCAAGGCAACAAATAAATAACCTTCAAATTGTTTCCTAAAGGTCTATTTTATGGGATGCTTTTAAATGTTTTTTATTTTTATTTCCATTAATGGGTTTTCTGTCCTGCTTTAAAGCACTTTAGTGCTTTTCACTAAAGTTTGATAGGCCTAATAGTAAATGCAGCAGCACGAGTCTCAGACGGAGACTGCATTGAAATTTCCTGCTGTCTCGAGTTGCAGGGGGGTTGGGGGGGGGTTTTTTTTTTTTTTTTTTTTTTACAATTTGCTACACTAAATGAGAAAACAACCACTAGAATAATCTATAATAAAGAAAGGAGAAAAATAAAATTATATTTGGCTCCCTGCTAAAGAATTCCTATCATTCATCCATTTTTTTTCATTTAATAAGTCAGGACAAAGTGTTTTCATTATAATGTTTTTGAAATCTGTGTTTAATAGGCTTTCGAGGTGTTGAAGCCTTATTGTTAATACTTCAGCTCTTTATGGATTTCATCACATCTGTTTGACATCATGTTATATATGTGTTTGTATATGTATAATCAGTGAATCAATGAATGCTTGCATTCATTTTGTCCTTTGCATAACTACTCAGGCGTGCATGTGTGTGGCCTCTATCTCATGAGTGGCTTTTGGTCGTCACCATTTGATCTGGGGTCTGCCTCTTTTTGTTCCATTGTGGTTACATCACCAATGCATGAAGACCTGTGCACTGCATGGGCCAGTAGATTGTTTTGCTGGGCTGTTGCATTAGACGTGGTTGGGGGTTGGAGGAGAAAGCAAGAAAGGTTAAGATAAAGTTGCTTTGAACAAATTCTGTCTTTGATCAGGTGGCTCAGCGGTGAAAGGCCTTTCATACAGAAGTCAGAGCCCACTGAGCGAGGAGAGATGCAAATATGTATTGTTCTGTTTCATCTCCCCTCTGTCTTTTTTTCCTCTGACAGTGTTGTTAGTTGTGTGCACTCCCTTCTGCTTTGTTATGGAGAGTGCATGGCCTTTCTTTCAAAAACTCCACATAAGCACACATATGCACACACAATGACTTAAAAGCATTACTGAACACACGTTAGAATACTGAGTGGAACTGGCAATGCTGAGCTGCAGCCGGAGCATAGCATTCTGTCTGGTCTCTGCTCATGCTCTTGTTGCTAAACTAATTTGATTCATGGATTAACTGACTAAAACATTAATCTGCAACGCTTTGGATAATAAATCCAATAAATGTGCGTTTTGGACTGCTGGCAGGACTAAACAAGAACCTGAAGGTGCTACTTTGGGCTCTGGAAATACTGATGGATTTTATTTTATTTTTTTACTTCATTTTTTTATTTTATTAGGCTCAAAAGGAAAATTGCAGTCAAATGAAAAACAGAATACACATAAAGTAGAGTACATGAAACATGAAAGACTATGAAAAGACAATAAAATATGTCCAACACACTGTATGCTGAAACCCACATAAAACAGTTGACATCTTTTATGGATTTAACCATTACTGATAAAAAAAAAAAAGAATAATAGACTACTCAGACTATGGTTGTACCTTTTCCCTGCCCAAACCAAGAATGTCTGAAACTAATGGGGTATGATTTCTCCTTCTAGTTTCTTAGCTTTCTTACATTATTGCAAGTTTAAAAAACTATTTCCTAAGAAGTCAAATGATTTCTTCCAGTACAGGTTCATTAAATCCCAGGTTTATCAGCACAACAACTTCTGAGCTGATCAGAAACTAAAATCGGTAGAGTTACATACACACACAAACACAAAAGGATGATATATTATGGTTTTTTTTGTGTTCCTAAAGCAGGTCTATCAGCATAGAAGGGGCAGTAGAGCTCACCACAGATTGTTGAAGGAGTTCACTAGATGTTGCCATGGATGCTTTTATAGTTAGTCCAGTCACACACATTCAGCGTCACAACTAACTAGATACATGTAACATACACACACTGGTCTAACAGCTGTCACATCCAGATGTCCAACATACATCTGGCTCTGCAAGCCACACATGAGCGAAAATTTGTGTTTCCTCATCTTATTTCTCATTAAAATCTCTACTTGCACACCATGTGACAAGGTGCTTTTTAAACAACCAGCACTGTTAAACTAGGGTCTTTTCAGCCAATCACTCCATTAAGCCAGAACACAAACATTCCCTCTAGTCAGCCCAGTTGTCTAGGCGATGATGCCGTGGGGCGGGCTACATCTTGTGACTGGACAGTCTCATGTGCTACTGCACTTCATTTGAGTCATAAAACAACTTTAACCACACTAGTATCTTGGCTCTAGGATTGTTGATCTGTCAGTTGGGCCAACACTTCGGTCCAGCCTGAAATGTCTTAACTACTGGATGGACTGACACTGAATTTGGTCCAAATATTCTTGTTCCCCGGAAGATTAAGTGTATTGATTTTGGCGATCCTCTATATTTTCCTCTAACATGACCGTATGAGGTTGACATTTGTTGTGCTGGAATAAGAACATCTTAACATCAGCATGTTGGTATTGTCACTGTGTGCATGTTAGCATGCTAAAGTTAGCAGTAAGCTCATAGCACTGTTGTGCCTAAGTACAGCCTCACATCTGCTAGCATGACTATAGCCTCTTAGTTTTGTCATGTTACTCAGAGCTCAGTTTAAAAACACATTGATTTTTTCATAGTAGCCATCTCTTAGGCAGACAATCAGCTGAACATTGGCACCGTGCACTAATTCCTGTCATAGCTGATACCAAGAGAGAGATTGCTTTCAGACTGTTTTGATTGCACTTATCTGCTTTGAAATGTACAAATGGTACAAGCTTTGATTTGCTACACAAGAGGATTTTATGTTTTCCAATTAAGGAAATAATCAGCAGCTGAAGTGTTGGTGTCAAAGCAGAGAGGTTGTGATTAATGATTTAAAGGCTAGAATAAAATCCATTAGACTTTCCTGCTCATATTTCGCTGTCAGTGGTAGGGCATTAAAACAGTGAATGCGTGCTGTGTGGAAACAGTCTTTGTTGCTGTAATGTGGTGCAGTATGAAAACATTCACATGCATAACTAGTCTTCAACACCTTACTCTGTTGTTGTTTTGCAGGTAGCAGAAGTAGCCAAGACTTCCTCTCAGACTGATGACCTGTATCTGGATGACACAGGCTCAGGAGGTTACTACCCTGAAGATGATGATGACTTTAACTCAGGGTCTGGCTCAGGTAAGACATGCTTACTCACACACACAAGTTGTGTTTCCTTGTGGGGACTTTACACTGACTTACATTCATTTCCTGTAGACCTATCCTAACCTTAACCATAACCACTACTTACCTAACATCTAACCCTGACCCTAACCTTAAACCATGTTGACACCCTAAAATTCAGTGATTTCCTTGTGGGGACTAGCCTCTGGTGCCCTCACATGGTCCCAACACTTTGGTAAAGACACACACACAGTTGGAAGCTTGGCACACAAGAGGTGTGATGACATTAATTTTCAAGTCTGCTGCAGGTAGGTTTTATGAGCATGAAGTTTTTCCTTCCCCAGCAGACTAAAGTTTTGCCTTCATGTCTTCCCTCCTCTCACTTTATCTTTCTCTTTTGTCTTCCTTTCTTTGTCTGCTCTCTTTCACTACCTCTCTCTAGCTCTCACTCGATTTGAATTGAGATTGTCTTGTCACCCTCACTGCTGTGGGCAAGTGTGCAAGTTTTACATGCTTTTTTTTTTGTCTCCTCTGCTCTACTTGCTTTAAGCACCTTTACACTCATTCCTTGTGGAAAGTAACTCTTCTGTCTGAGAGCAACTGCACGGGAAGATCAAGTGCAGTAAAGTGCGACAGAACAGTGATCAATATCCCTTCCAATACCGTTTATATATGTATCCTATTACTCTGTTCTGCTACTCTCTCTTCTGTAGGAGACTCAAACTGTAACTGATATATTAAAATCATCATGTGCATGTTTTAATATAAAACTAGTGATAACATGTATGCACATATTATGAATTAGCACATACACACATCATCATGTTTATATTTTTCTACTTTATTTTTACAAGCTGTGATGCTAACTGCCTGTTTACCCATCACCCTCTTTGTCCCAGGTGGAGGTGAAGTGGTGGAGGAAACAGTGACTGTCAGTACAGTTTATATTGAGCCCAATGCAGCACAGCCTACCAGGGACTCCACCAAAGACTTCACCCCCAGGGTGGATACAGCCACAGTCAGAGAAAAGGCCAAGGCTAGTGTACCAAGGAAACCATTCAGAACAACAGAGGTAAGAAAAAGTACTATGATATACTGTAGATGGGACTCTAGACAAGAGCTGATTTGTCCTTTTAACCAACTGAGGTGGCTAAAGTTTGAACAAAACTGAGCAAGATGAGAAAGTAAATTTATTTAAATCAAAGGTTTGTTCACTTCCTTGCCAAGTGATATATACAATGACAATTAATGAATTATATGCTCAGACATTTTCTGCATTTCAAGGTCAAGGTCAAAGTGTTTATTTGTCATATGCACAGTTAGGAAACGTGTTTCTCTATACAATGAAATTCTTACTTTGCCGTCCACATGAATGCCACAAAATACAAGTGAAATATAAAGTAGATAAATAAGTAACACAAGGTCTAGGCACTTTAAGCAGCAAATGCAGCAATATAATAAGAATATATAACAATATAATAAGAGAATGTATGCTGCATGGGAGCAGCATGTGCAGCAGTCAACAGTCAATGTGCAATTATGCATGTGCAAACTGAGAATGTAAACAGTACAGGTCGTCAGTACATGACGTATTTCCTGGTAATAAACTCCTGTCAGCTGTTTAGGAGTCTGATTGCAGAAGGAAAGAGAGTTTTTCAGTCTGGAGGTCCTGCATTTCACACTTCACTTCACATTTCTTCTAGTGTCAAACCTTAATTGTATGACATTTTTCAGCTTAGCATCATCTATGACAACAGTGGCTTATTTGTAACTATCCCGATTCAACAGAGTGACACAGTACACAGTACTATGTACTAGTACACAGTACTATGTTTTTATCTGACCCAGTATGTCATTAAATCCCCTGTAATAACCAGGAGCTGTTGGGTTGCTTTCAGGATGATAATCAAATGCTCACATCAATTCTCAGTGTTTTCACTCCAGTGTAAATTATGGAGGATTACATCTCTCTTAGACACAATTACATATTCTGGAACCATCCTAGATCTCACTTCTGCATTGCACTATTAATGTACTGCTTTGGATGCAACATCTGTTTGGGATTATTTGTCAAGGTCTTAATCCCCTAAACCAAGCCTACCTGGCACTATTCCATTTTTTCCCTTTCCCCTCTGTCACTGCTCCCTTGGACAAATGCACTGGCTCACTTCCATTTTGGTCCTTTGCACCCTTCTCTAGTGTCCCTCGGAAGAAGCAAGGCATGCTTGGACCCAGATACATTCCAGATACTTGTGCTTCCTTTCCTAGACTCCCAGTAAATCCTTGGGGTCACTGGCTATATTTCTGTTGTCTGCTTTACTATGTCCTTGTACTAATCTTTATGGGTAATCTGGACTTGTTCCATTTTCTTCTCTGGCCAGCCCCCTATAGTTTTACTGCCATTCCATTTTGGTCCTCATTCTCCTTTCACTAGACCTTCTTGCTACAATAGGCGGGCCAGTGAAATCTCCCCTTTCCTCCTAAAAATAAGAATTAAATATTTTTTTATTAAACACACTTATTTGCTTTCTTGCTGAAAGTTAGATGAGAAGATTGATACCTGTTGCAAGCCACAGCCAGCAGCCAGTTGGTTTAACTCAGAGAATAGAAATGGAGAAACAGCTAGTCTGGCTCTGTCCAGAAGTAACAAAATCCATATAATCGCTTCCCCGAAGATCACTGAGTCTTGTTGCTACCATGAGGTTGTCAGGCAACCTGCAGCAGGAGGAAGTCTGTGTACCCGATCAATAAAAGGTTTAGCACATAATCTAAAACATCTAGAGAGAAACAGGTGAGCTGTTTTCCCATTTCCAGTTTTTATGCTAAGCTATGCTAACTGGTGGCTGGCTGTAATGACATATTTAACAGACAGGTATTAGAGTGGTACCGATCTTCTCATCTACCTCTCAGCAAGCATAAACCTAAGCAAATTTTCCTAAATGTCACACTATTTATTTAACATTAATTGTCATGATTATACCAGGCAGGAATTTAGATATTATTCAAGAACCCCCAAATGAACCCAAGTGACACATAAGGCCATATTTTGAGGATCCATGGCGTTTGATCAAGATGTACTGGTGCAATCGGCGTTTGGGGGTAATTTGACAATGAGCAGCAAAAGCAAGTAGCAAAAGGGGCTGTACTGGAAACACCCCAGTTTCATCCAGACACACCTGCTGGCACAAAGTCAACAGACTGCTGCTTGGTAAAAAGGCAACATGATGAGCTAGTCATGAAAACAGTAACTGCGTGGGTAGGAAATTAGGAAACAGACACACCACCCGCCCCGCACACCCTGCATCTGTTGCAAAATAGGGCCCATACAATTAATATTTAAAGGAAAGAATATGAAAATCAGTTGTCAAAGCACCCTTAATCTTTCCTCATCTGTCTCCTTCTCCCTCTCTGGCCTTTTTGATCCCTAACCAGGCACCCGTGCCAGTTACAGAGGACATGCAGAGGAACCATATGACTAGTACGACTAGTGTCCCCGGCTCACCACAGGAGGCTGTTGAGGTCCGCACTGAAAACCTCTTCCAGAGGACAGAGGTGTTAGCAGGTATGTGTCAGCCACAACAGACATCAAGCCACATCTCAATAATTACTTAAATGCAAAGTGAAACATGCTTGAAGTATTAACATGACTGCAGTTTGTGTTCAAAGTCAGGTATTTCTTTATATGTAGACATGTCACAGCGGCTTTTCCACCAAAGACAACACTCAGATGTTGTATACTTTCTGTGAAGTGGAGATGAGAGGAAACTGGGCCCAGCTCTTTTTAGTCATTATTGTATGAATCAAAAAAAGAAGATAAAATTTAAAAACTCAAACTAATTTGCTTCATGTTTAACATGAGAACGACATTTTCTCATCTCATCTTCCCAAAGGTCTGATCTATTCCTTTAATATTTCAACCAGTTTGATTATCTACCACATTTTGTGACACATTTTGGGAGTGTTTATTTAGTTTGCCGTCCATTGTTTCTCTCTCTGTTTCTAATAAAACGTCAGCATACTTCTGGTGAACCACTAAGTCCCGGAAATATAGGTAATATTTTTCCAGTTATCTTTTTCTTAAAAGAATTTATTTTTAATCAAGTTCATGTTCTACTCTGCAGAATTTGCAGCATTGTGGGTGTTTCAAGTGTTGTTTGTTTTGAAAACATAAAAGAAAGTGGAAAGGAAATGATCTTACTCTAAATCACCGTGCGCTCTGATGCTGTCTTCTTCTCTGCTTCTCTGAGGCAAACACTGATTGGCACCTCACTTTTACTTCATCATCAACAAGGACAAATCAGGGCAGACTCACCTCACATCTCTGTCCTCATTTCATGTTATCCATATTGTTCTTGGATTTGTGAGAGAAAAAATATTATTGCTAGTATAAAACCTCTAGGTGAGACCCTGAAAGTTGAAATACAAATATATATATAAAAACCATGGTCACAACTGTCCTCCAGTCTCTTCTTTATTGTGTTCCCTTTACCCTTCGCTTATATTATCACCATTACTCTTCATCTCCAGTATGACATCTATAAAAATAATAATCTGATTTTCATGTATTCAGTTTGCATTACATTACTGCTGGGTGTGTGCTAGGATATTTCTCCATAGGGCCAGTCAACATGTGGAAGCCTACAGTGGAGCAGAGCACAAGGGCGAACCTTGAACAGACATTTAACACTTTAACAAACATTACACAGACATAACCTGGAGGGAGAGTAAAGCTAGTAAATAATCTGTGGTTGCTGAAAAAGGCTGCTTTTCTTCTGTAGCAGGTGAAACCTTTGCTGCTGTGGGTATGAGTGTGACCTTAAGCTCAATTAGTGTGGAAGCTGCTGTAGATGTTGTTTCTATCTTGATAGATGTAGGTTCCATCTTTGCTTTTTGTGACGGAACTGTTGGTACGGCTATGATTGGAGCAGGTGTGGACTGTGATTTTGTGGCAGTAGGAGCGGGCTCTGCTTTTTTGATTGCAGGTTTGGGTTCTGCCTTCTTGGTTGCAGGTGTGGACTTAATCTCTGGCTTGGCAGATACAGACAAAGGCTGAGGCATTTTTCCTGAGTCTCCCAGTTGTCCCAACAAAGCCCATTGAGTTTGGCAGTTTAGACACAGTATCTGTAGGAATAATCTGACTATTCAGAGCATTCATGCGACCTTTTGAGTTGTCCTTCTGATGTTCCTCAAACATCTGAGTTGCAGTGATAGTGGCATTACTCATTCGGCAGAACTTTTAGTACACTGGAATTGTTTGCACTTTATTTTAAAATTGCTTCTATGATTACAGAAACACAACATATGATTAGGACACACTCAAGACCAAGGTTGACATTAGAACACCTTACAGACCCCTTTATTCTGGCACAGTAATGTCTCTAATTAAAAGTCAAATACAAACCAGGACCCTGAGGACATTACTGAGCTGAATGACGGAGGCCTTTCTGTATCAAAAACTCTTATTTTTTTGTGCAGGAAGAAGGTGTAACAAAAAAAATAAGAGTTTTTGATACAGAAAGGCCTCCGTCATTCAGCTCAGTAATGTCCTCAGGGTCCTGGTTTGTATTGACTTTTAATTAGAGACATTGCTGTGCCAGAATAAAGGTTTTTTGTACATTTTTGTACATTGTACAAAGATGCCCGATGTTGTTTTCTTCCAGCTGTGACACTTTTATTGTTACGATGAGATTTATCATCCAGTTAACAAAAAAGAAGATGCTTCAGCTCGAGCCATGCACTCGTAGTTGTTTGTTTGTGCACACCGGATTTATTTGACTGTTGAGCCAGTGGAGCCTATGCCATCACATTCTTCCTCTTAAGCCTCAGTTGGCAGTCACTGATTGCAATATAAACCATGCTGAAACAACTACGGAACACAATCATGGACTGGAGCCTTAATATCCCCTTAGTGGAACACTAACTTTTCAAATCACCAATACATTAAAAGAGGTGAAACGAGACACAGAAATGTATTGTCTCCTGAGACACAGAGGTTTTCTCATGGACATTAGGTAATGTTACTGCATTGTTTCAACATTCGGCTGTGATGGTCGCAGCATAGTTTCACCACATTTAAGCGCTCAGTTTTGATAAATTGTTGTGGAATAGCATTGAAATTTGGACACAAATAGTAGAAATGTTTGCTGCTGTAATGTTACCTATTTAGGACAAATTGAAGTCCTCATGATTTCACCTTTTGAGCATTGATTGTGATCCCCCCCTTTCTGTCTCTGCCTCTCTCAGCTGTTATTGCAGGTGGTGTGATCGGCTTCCTGTTTGCTATCTTCCTCATCCTCCTCCTGGTCTACCGCATGAGGAAGAAGGATGAGGGCAGCTATGACCTGGGAGAGAGGAAACCCTCCAGTGCAGCCTATCAGAAGGCCCCAACCAAGGAGTTTTATGCATAAAACCCCACCCTCCCATCACTAGATCAACAAAAACTTGTTCAACACAAGAAACAACAACAAAATGTTTTCAAGTTAATTAAGGAAAAATTGCATAAAGGAAAGCTTTTGCAAAGAGTATTGTAATTAAGACCTTTTCCTTCTTCTTTTTTTTAAATGAAAACCAAGTATTTCTCATTTTATGGCAAACTCTCAAGTGCATTATTTTGTGTATTATTTGAAACGGTGAAAAAATTTAAACAGGATCTGTAAAGGCGAGGAAACCGATCGCACCTGTCTTCTGTTAAAGGAGCTGTTTTTAGTCGCTGACTACTTTTAACTGTAGCAGTATGTTATTTTTAAAGAAAAAGTGGATATAATTGAATATAATTATTCTGTATCAATGCTACTTTCTTTTCTTTTTTTCTTTTTATTTTGTCCTAGCATGTCTGATGTTGATCTCTAAAGGTGTATTACATTAATTTATCTTTTCTCTGATGTTAAAAAACATGCCTTCGTAGTTTTGAAGAAGCTCTTCGGTCATATTAATGCAGCTAACGGTCAATGTAAATGTTCTTCCTTCAGGTTACAATGTTTATTATATGCGCTCACAACAGTTTTTTTTAGTCAAACATGAGCATTTCATTATGTCTTGTTTACTTGTCTTCTCGTTGTAGCTTTTTTTTCTCTTTCCAACAGGGTTTTATTTTCACTCATGAATTTGTCTGTAAAAGATAAAAAAAAGTGTGTCAGGGCTCAAGAAAATTCACAAATCTCACTTCTGTTTCGTGTCTTGCTGACTTTTCTATTTAAATACATTTGCAATCACATTGTACATTCACCATGTTTGTACCCAACACTTTCCAACTGCTGTCATGCAGCTTTGCATGCATGTGAAGTTTTGTCTTTGGGGCTTGTGGTGTTTTTGACCCAGAGCCACCTCCATCCCCAGTGTGTCCCTCAAACTTACTGACTGCACCCAAACTTTGCTAACATGTCTTTCCCCACTTCCACCCTCTTTCAGTGTTAACCCTAACCAATTTCACTCCCACCTTCTTTTTAATCAGATCAGAGCATGGCCAGTTGAGCTGTCAATCCCCCCCCTTAAACCCTCTGTTTTTCTCCCTCAGCTGCATGGAGCCACTCGGGTAGCTTGGCGTTGATGCAGGCCCCAGGATCTGCCCATTGAAGGCCTGCTACTGCTTGGACACAAACAAACCAGGCCAGGGTTCAGTCTCCACATGCAGAGCAGAGTAAATAACACCAGAACCTCCCTCTAGAGACCTACTTTCTCAGAAGGGCTGAGAAATACGGCTGCACAGACAATATAAGACTGAAGTGATATTTCTGAATAGTTTCTGATACTCATGTCGAGAACTAGTCATGGTTTTAGTGGCTAATGCCAGCAGTTCAAAAAAGCTTCTGTTGAAAGGTGAGGTTGTTAACAAAGCTGACAACCTATATAGGGTACACAAATGAGTTAAACTGAAATCAAGACCATAAAATATCAGTAGCTCCATCCAAGGAGAACTAAAATTACAGTCAGATGGCAACAAGTCTCCTCTTTTAATGTCTACATTTACTTACTCTGAAGAGAAGTTGCCTTTTCCAGCTATAATGTGAAGTGGATACAGAAGAGGTTATCCTGTCATCTGATGTCATAACACAACCCATGTGCAGCCGTTTATTCCTCTACCTCCTCATCCCTCATGCTCTCTCTGGCTCTTTCAGTCTCTCTGTCATCCTTTACTTATCCACTCCCATCTTCTTTTCCTCATCTGTCTTGTCATAGTACCTAAGGTACCGAACTATACTGAAAAACCCAAAGACTCACAGTATTTCTACTCCCACTATTTTCTCCCCTCCACATGGCCACATCATGTTGTTTCCTCTTTTTCTTTTTCACTCTTTAATTCTTTCTCTTTTAGAGACCTGACCTCTGAGTCCAATTGCTAATAGTATATATGAAAAGATATATAAACAAATATATATAAATGTATATTCACAAATGTTTTAAACCTTCAAAGTGCCTACCATTTGGAAATGTACTTGCTCGAGGTGAGCATGTAGCGGGTGTGTACACAAAGGAGGGGTGTAAACGACTTGACTGGCATTCTGTGAGCATGGATAACTTTTTTTTTAGTCTTACAAAAGCTGACAGTATTGTACCTATAAGTTGAAACAACACTACTGAATAAACATTGTGGCCTAATACCGCTTGTGCCATCTTGTTTTAAAATCACACTTTTTTTTTTCCTCGACGCATTCAACAGATCAGTGTAGCACCTTTAATGTGATATGTTTATATGTTTTGTATTTTTTAACACCTTTTGAGCAATGATTTCTTCTACAGTCTACTATTGAGTGATTTTGTCTAAAATGTTGAGAGCAGACTCCTTGGTTTACACCTCTAACTTTGAAAAATGTCTCCAACAAAGTGTTCATTTGACTAATTATTCAAAGGTAAAACTATCTTCCAACAGTTTACCCTAAAGTTGCTGTTAAAAAAGGGGGTACATCTGTGTCTATAAATAGAACAAACATTTAAAATGTAGGGCTGCCTTTAACATTCTACAGCACATTTCACTCTCAGTGTGCAGGAGAGTAATCTTCATGTGGTCTTGTGCTCCACTATATCATTTTATTGCACTAATCTGACCCTGTTACAGAGGGAGATTCGAGTAACGGGGGGGATTAATCTCGCACAGGATTGCACATCTTGAGTGATGCCAGGAGTGAAATAGGAAGCTAGTGATGCTGACTCTCAAGGCAGGCTTACTCTTATTAATTGGTATATTTATTCAGTTACAACATGAAACACATCAGGGTTTATGCGCTGATGAAGTTAAAGTGATTACCTCATTAAAAGGTCAAATTAAGATCATAGCAATAATTCAGCGTTTTGGGAAATGTGATTAATTGTTGCTAGGAGTCGGAAGTAAAGAGGGGATGTGAACATGCATCAGTGTACAACCCAAAAGTGTGTGGGTCTGCATGTGTGGGTTATTGTGTCAAACTGACCGTGTCCATGGGCAAAAATATTGTCTCTTGTGTCTAGCTTGAGGAGAGGCAGATCGCTGGGGAAAGAATAAAGCTACAACTAGTTCTTGATGTTGTTTTAAGTGAATATTCTTCTTTCTACTCTTTTCTAAGGAATCGGGTCACTGTGTTCTAATACGGTATGTGATATTTACCCAGAGGCAGTTTGTACAGGACATCCCAAAAGGACAGGCTCTATTTAGAGGGGTGGTGAAGCAGAGAGCCAATGGGAGAACTCTTATATTTTTTTTCTTCTTCATTGAAGCTGTTTCAGTATTTCCCAGTCTCACTGTTCCTCTCTGTGCATCTATGTTGCATGTGTTTGCCCTTTTAGTCTCCAGTTTGTGTCAAAGTGCAGCCAAGATTTACACATCCTGTGTTTTGTTTGGAGTAATGTAAGGGGCCAGTATGTGTTTATCTCAGAGGAGAGAACATAATCCCACTTAGTAAAACATAGGTGGATAGATGTTTAAAACCCTCTCTTCTTTATTTTGCCATCTTTTTTATGTTCTGTCTGTCCTTTATGAAAACTTGTTCTTTCGCTTTGTAGCTTCAGAGCTAATTCGATGCTGTAGGCCATCAACTGGTAGTCAGTCTGTCCTTTATGAAAACTTGTTCTTTATCTTTGTAGCTTCAGAGCTAATTCAGTGCTGTAGGCCATCAACTGGTAGTCGGCGTTAAACCATGCAGAAGCGTCAAGGAAATGGTGACCAAGGTAAACAGGCTGTCAGGCCTCATAAGAGCTAATGACTGGAGACTAAGCCTGGGCCTGACTAGGGTGGACACGTAGCACCTCACTGACCCAAACACACAGCACCGCACTACGCCAGTCCAAGCCCAGCAAATACAGCTGTGATAATTATAGAATGATGTTCAAGTCTTAGTCCAAGCTCCTACCACATGTCTATATTATTGCCTGGTATTGGGCATAGCTATCATTGCCATAAGCCCCAGAGTCAACTCTACCAGATGTCGCCACTGCTGCATGGTTTACAGCTCTAAACCAAAACTGGCTCTTACATCAATGCAAAATTACATGTGGCTGCAAAACCCAGGATACCTAGTTGAAGTGTATTTCTTTTTAAGTTTCACTTTATTATCACTTGCAAGTATGAAGCAATGAGTAAGAGACTATACTTCCTACGGGTGCTCAGGATGAACAACATCTCCCAGAGACTGCTGGTGTCCTTCTATTGGTGCCCCCAAGTTTAGTTGAGGTGGAACTGTCATTAGTCTTGCAGGTACTTGTTCATAAAGTATTGGACCCATTGGTAGCACTGGAACTAGAATTACTACTTGTATGCCTCTGCCAATCAGTCAAATTCATGGGAATGGGACAGAGGTGAGGTCACTGAACTTGACCGATGACCAAAATCTAATCAGTTCACAGCAAAGAGTGGTAAAAAATGAGCTATGTGGAAAAAATCACCATCAGACAAAATACACGAGTCTCTGTCTCTGCTGAAAAGGTGCTTGGCACTGGCGATCACCATCTCTGTTGTACTTCAACCAATCTTTCTCTTGTTACATGCTCTTTATTGGATTTAAGGTTTAATTGGTCAAAAAGGACATAACAAGTCTTGTATTTTCCCTCACCTTTCCTAAAAGCAAAGCAGTACCACAGCTGGTGAAACTTGCGCTTGAGAGGGAGGTGAACTGAGCTGATTACTTCTTAGAGTCAGAGGTTTTAGTGCTCAAAAATGCTTAGGAGATAAATCATGTCTGAATGGAGTGAAGCAACTGCTAAAATGCAGTTAATCTCTACCACTTTTGTATGGCCTTAATCTCCATTTCCTTCACTCCACTTTTTGAAACCTCTGAATCATGTATGAAGCAGGTAAATTGAGTCTTGAGGCTTCAAAGCTTAATTATGCTTTTTACAGTACATTAGGCAGCGAAGTATAAACTAAGTATTACACAACAATTTTGCTTAGTTTGGATGATCCAGTGGGGAATCTGAACAATTTTAATTCCTTGACTGAAAGTACAAACGGAACTGAACTGTGTTAGGAGTGAGATGGCTGGCTGCTATTGTGAGTAAGCCATCACTGCTGCATAAGGAACAACTCATTTGGGATGGAGCAACAGTGTAATGACTACAATGAGCACATTCTGATCATGAGAAAAGAGGTTTTCCAGATCTGCGTTAACAAAACAAAAGCTATCTTGGTGCATAAATGTAGATATGGTAATGATGGTTCTGTGACAGTCCAGGCTTTTTGTCTGTTACACTGTTATTAGAAAAAAAAAAGAGGACAGACATTTAGCAATGACATGTCTCTCCCTTGCTTTGTAATAGAAAATGGACATTTAATTGTCCTTTCAAAAACCAGAATTACAGTGTCTTGATTCAGTCTCATCCAGCTTTTGGTCCACTTTCATGTAGGTCAGTGTAATTTTACAGCTGGATTAAGCAAATAAAGTTGGCTCCATGTCTTCTTTTTGTATAACAACTTGTTAGAGCTTATTTGTTAAGATTTAAACTAAACTCGCCCACATCACAGTCAATTAAATAGCATAATTGCACTGATTAATTTTAATTACCTCATATTTTATTGACTCAAGGTACTAAAACACACTTTTGATAAGGACTAATGAGATAATTAAGAATCATTTATCAAGATAAACTTTATAATTTTACATCTCATGAGCACAGAAAGCACCGCTTGGTACCGACTCAACTCAACTCGCCTTATTTGCGTTTCCATCAGTCAAATGTTGGGGGGGGTACTGCTTTTGGTATCACCTCCGTAGAGGTTCCAAGCAAGCAGAGGCGACACCAAATGGTGCCATGTAAACAGCATATCTTCGATGTCCTCTGTTGCTGTTTCGGTTGCTGACGACGTCATGGAAGTGTA